AGACAAAGCACCTAAAGCCTGTGGCCTGGCTTGCAGCAATAGCTGGCTGTGACATGGTCTGAGTGGGTCACTCCCAGTCCTCCCACAACATGCAGATCACTGTGCTCCATGGCAGAGGCTTTCATTAGCCACATACAGGAAATCCCAAATCTGCCCACAGGGTGACTGGGGTGTATCTAACTTGCCAATCATACACACAAGTGCTTGAGTGGCACCATAATGGGCTATGATGAGGGGTCCCACCAGCCATTATCCCAGCAGGAAACCCCAGCACGCCCTTCCCTGCAGCATCCTTCACCCCTGCAGAACACAGGAAGTGGGCCAACCTCAGACTGGTGGTTTTCTGGGCAAAGATTTCTTAGGTGATGTATGGACTTTTCTTGCCAATAAATTTTTTGGCATTTCCTGCTCTGGCAGTCACTTCAATATAATCTAAAAAATTAATTTCCTACCTCTTGTAATTACTCTTGGCAAATTAAAAGTCAGTACTTAATACAGTTTAGCTCAAAGCCTACTGCCCCAAGCAGCTACAGACACAGGTAACCATGGTGGCTGTGGTGCAAAACAGTCTAGAGGACTTGTGTGAGCAACATTTCCATGAGGGATGAATGGGTGTGGAAGTCATAAGTTCAACAATGGCTATTTGTACCCTCTTAGTGTTCAGCCAGTGTGTTTCATTTCAGCAAACAAAACATCTTCCCCATAAAACAAAAAAAAATCCAGTCCGCAAGGATTTGCTTTCAGCAGCCTGAGCTTTCTGCACCTTCCCCTCACTCAGATTTATCACCAGAAATGTATCTAAACCACAGCTTTGGCTCTGACAAGCTCAAAGCCTTTGCTTCATTCCTTGTTCATTGAGGTAAGGATACAGTGCTTGACATCTGCAGCCGTGCTGGAGTTCTGTACATGGGCCTCATCCCTGCCACACTGTATGTGCCACCACAGGTCCTAGCCAGACCTCTGTGCCTGCCCCTGGACCCTCCACTCCAGTAGAAGCAGATTTTGTTTATTTTCACTCATAACTTCAGGAAGCAGTTTCAAAGCTGGCACCCAAGATCATCTCATGAACCCTCCTACTGTAAGCAAAGAACAGGTTTGGGACCACTTGATGAAATTGAGTGAATCCATGTCTATGGGATCTGGTGGCAGATCCCATAGAGGGAACTGAGGGAAGTGAGGGAACTGGCTGTAGTGTAGTTGCCAAGCCTCTCTCCATCCTCTTCATGTCATGGTGATCAAATGAAGTCACTGGTGACTGGAAAAAAAAAGGGGAACATTGCTCCCATTTTTAAAAAGTGGAGAAAGGAAGATATGGGGAACTGGAGACTGACGAGCCTCACCTTTGTGCCTGGCAAGATCGTGGAGCATCACAGAGGATATGCTGGGGCATATAAAAGACAAGGGTTAAGGTTAGGTGAACTGAAGCAGCCAGCACAGCTTTACTGAGGGCAAATCATGGCCAATCTGGTGGCCTCCTATGATGGAGTGATGGCAACAGTCAACCAGGGAAGATGGCAGATGTCATCTATCTACACTCTGTGAGGCCTTTGATATGGTCCCAAATGACATCTTTATTTTAACCAGATAGACAGGAATTTGACTGATTGACTAGTCAGTGGATAAGGAGATGGATGGATGGATGGATGGATGGATGGATGGATGGATGGATGGATGGATGGAGCCAGAGTGTTTTGGTCAATGACTCAATGTCTAGGTAGAGGCCAGTGACAAGTGGTGTCCCTCAGAGCTCTGTCTTGGGGCAAGTATTCTTCAGCATATTTATCAGTGAGCGCAGACTGTGAACAGAAGCCATTGAGGGCTGCCCTGTGGAGAAGGACTTGAGAATTGTTGTGGATGAGAAGCTGGGCATGAGCCAGCAATGTGTGCCTGCAGCAGAGAAGGTGTATTGCACCCTGGGCTGTGTCAGCCCATTACAGGATCAGGATGGTCACCCCACAAACAGGGACAGAGACAAGGCAGAGGTGTTTAATGCATTCTCTGCCTCTGTCTTCAACATTGATGGTGGGCCAAGGGATATCAGTGCCCTGGGCTGGAGGACCATGACTGCAAGAATGATAACTCCCAGCTGACCCTCATCCCAATCTCCTTGTGAGGAGAAGAGGAGGGGCAGGCACTGATCCCTGCTCTTTTGTGTCCAGTAACAGGACCCAAGGGAATGGCCTGAAGTTGTGTCAGGGGAGGTTTAGTTTGGATATCAGAGAAAGGTTCTTTACCCAGGGGGTGGTTGGGCACTGGAACAGCTGCCCAGGGAAGTGGTCACAGAATCAGCCTGACAGAATTCAAGAAGCATTTGGGCACATGATGTGACTCCTGGGGATGGTGCTGTGCAGGGCCAGGAGCTGAACTTGATGATCCCTGAGGGTCTCTTCTAACTCAGCTTATTTTGGGATTCTGTGAAAAGAGGGATGGCTAGCAGGTTGAGGGAGGTGATTTTCCACATATTGTCTGCTGTCAAGAGACTGTTCTGGAGTGCTACATCCAGAGCTGGGGTCCTCAGCACAAGAAAGATATGGATCTGTTGGAGCAGGTCCAGAGGAGAGCCACAGGGATGCTCAGAGGGCTGGAGCACCTCTCCTATGAAGACCGGCTCAGAAAGCTGGGGTTGTTCAGACTGGAAAAGAGAAGACTCTGGGGAGACCTTTCTGTGGCTTTCCAGTAACTAAAGGGGTTTATAAAAAGGAAGGAGAGGGACTTTTTATATGGTCAGATAGATGCAGAACAAGGAGCAATTATTTTAAACTGGGAGAGGGCAGGTTTACCTCAGATGTTAGGGAGTAATTCTTTACTGTGCAAGGAATAAGACACTGGCACAAGTTGCCCAGAGAAGCTGTGGATGCCCCATCCCTGGAAGTGTTCAAGCCTGGGTTGGATGGGGCCCTGAGCAAATGGGCTAGTGGAAGATGTCCCTGCCCATGGCAGGGGGGTTGCAGCTAGGTTATCTTTAAGGTCCCTTTCAACCCAAACCATTCTGTAATTCTGTGATTTTATAATGAGGAGTGCTGAGACTCATGTCCACAACTGAATGTTGTTCACAGGCTTTTACAAAGTGGTTGGCCATATGGAATCTCAGGAACTGCAAGCATTCTTTTTCTGGAAAGCTATAGGTTTGTATTCTCCATTGCTCTCCCTCCTCCTTTCCCTTTGCTGCCCATTTTGAATCCAGCACACCTTTGTGCAACAGCAGCCTTCATAAAAGAAGTCAAAATGTGTGGCAGAACATTTAAATATAGCTGCATAGATTTAATTTTCTTATCCTCTCACCACACTTCAGTCAGACTGAGGGAAACTGGGCATTAGACAAACACCTTGATTTCAAATGTTATTTGAAGGATGACTTTTTTGAGCTATAAGGAATTTTATTAACTTGTGCCACTCCTATGAAAGCATTATAATTCAGTGCACATCACTCAGCTAAGAAAATATTACTGCATCTCTATGGCAACCAGCAATGAACAACATATTGACCATCCCCAAAGACACAGGGAATTGCATTATTCCTGTACCATAATAGTATCTACTTAGAGTATGCCTTGTGCTTATACATATTTAGGATTAAAAAAATAAAATTATGAATTGTGAATCATTAAGCTTCCAGCAAAAGGTTTGATGCAATAAGCATTAATTTTACTTCCTGTAGGTCCTGCTTTGCAGAGAAGTGTAACTTCATTCATGCTGCAAACATTTCCCTACACAATTCCCAAGGAAAATAAAGTCAATGTCAGTATGTGCAATATTGATGAAAGCATGAAAATAAAGCCAGCTGCTTTTCTGCCCCTTTCATGTCTGACCGTTTACACTGTTCATGTCTCCTCAGCTGTTACAAAACTGTGCCATCACATCAGAGGTTCCTTTATTCCTCAGAGCTTAGCTCAATGAAAGGGAGAAAGTACGCATTTCAAAAAATGAGATGGGTCTGGTACAAGCTAGAAAAAAAACCCACTGGAAAACACTGAAAAAAACACTCTAAAGGAAAAAGGTTGCAGAGCCTGAGTGGGGCACAAAGATGAGTTGTGGGGAAATGTGGCTGCTCCGCTGGACAAGAACAGCATACAGAAAGAAGAGCAGGCAGGGAGCAACACACTGGGAAAGGCAGGCCCTGATAACACAGCAGTGGAAATCCATCTCCAAAGTCCTTTAAACACTGTGCAGAAGGTTCACAGCAAGCTTGCAGTGGAGAGGTGCTCACTGATCCTCTCACTATAATGTCGTTCAGCAATATTGGGACTCTTTGACCAGACACAATGACACTGTACTCACTCTGCATGGTTGTAAAATTGTAGCCTTGTTAAAGGCAGCACAGTTTTCTCCAGCTCCTTGCACAGGCACTTCAATAAAGCTTCAAGCTTTAGGGCATAAGTCCCGGCCAAGTAATGAAAGCTAGAAAGACTCTTTCTTGCTGAACAGATGATTCAATTTTTGACTATTTCATGGTTTTTGTAATTTCTCAGAAGCGCATAAACCTAGGAGAGATGGTGCTGGAATAGAAAGACTGCAGTATGTGTGTATAGTATGTTCCCTCCCCCTTCCTATCGTTTCTACATAGGAAAATTCAGTGGTTCTGGCCACATTTAAAATGTTATACTGCAGAATGCTCCCCAGCAAAATTAAGAGGCAAAGTACAGCAAACGATACTTCAAAAAAAAAAAAACAAAAAACACTTGGGAATGTTGAGAAGTAGTAAACTGCAGTAAAATGATGTGCCTTCAGATCCATATCCATGATACAGTGCTTGCTGCTGTGCCCAGTCAGCAGAGCACAGGCAGAGCCGCTGGAGCTGGCAGCAGCAGCAGGCAGAGCCACGGGCAGCTCAGCCTGCCCGCACCAGCACTGCCACACTGCTGAGGAGAAAAGCTCTGCATTGAAATGCAGGAAAACTTCTGCTCTCGATCAGTTGGATTTGATAGTTGATTTAACTTCTTTGTGCTCACCCAGCTCTCAGTGGCTGAGTTTTGTATTCCATGCTCTCGGAGAGCGGATGACCTACTTTTCTTGTATTATTATTCCTGGTTTCAGCAGCCCGACTCCCCGGGAGCAGAGGAGGAGTGCTGGTGGTGTGTTTGTGGAGGATATACAGCCAGGACTGGGTTGGTGAGTGATTTGGAGAGAAAAGGGGTAAAGCTTTTAGTATGGCTTCATGGGAGGTGAAAATGTATTCAGCCTGCTACACCACACCCTGCAATGGGGAAGTCTGTTTACAGAGGGGATTGAAACAAAAATGAGCAAGATGTAAAGTAAGGGAACTTCCCTGCAGAGATGGGGTGGAGGAAAATGTGTGAAGGGTGGGAGGAGTGGAGTGAGGGGCAGCAAGTGGGGAGGGTGGTTTGACCATGGGTGTCCAGGAGGAAGATGCCCAGGTTGAGCCGGAGCTCCCAGAGCCCATTCCAGAGCCCTGGTTGTTTACAGAGAGTGAGGTGTGCAGAGAGAGGCTGGATTTGGAGAAAGGACATAAGGAAGAATGATGGCAAATGTGTTACCTGAAAGGGGGAAAGACTAGCATAAGAAAGAAAGGGACAAAATGCCTGAAAAATAAATTATTACCAGTGTAGGTAGGTAAGTAGTTCAAATTCACCTCCTAAGCAAATGAGCAACCTTGCTGATTTTGGGTAAACATGACTCTTAACAAGACCTGTGCTTGAGGTCTGTTGTAGCCGAAAGCTTTCAGCATGACAGCAAGGCTTCATTCCACCCAAATGAAAGATGCAGTCAAATTTGCCTTGTAGGATCCAAAAACCCAAACCAAAGAACTGCCTCCAAAACACAGATCACACACAGGCAGGTGAGAAATCTCTTAGGTAAAGGCAGGATTTTTGCAGAGAGCAGCATCAGGAGGTCAAGCAAGTGAAGGAGAAGACTTGGGAGCATATCTCAGACAGAAAACTAAAGCATCTTTAGGATGAAGAGCTGTGTGGGACAGAAGTAGGACCTGGGAGCAGGTGCAATAGAACTGACCTCTGTTTCAGCCTCTGTTCCTACTTCATTTGGGAAAAAAACAAACCATGTGCATATTCTTTAAGCATAATCAAATGCTTAAATCCATCATTTTAGTTGTTTGATGGAGCAGAGCACAAATAAAAGCCAACTTTAATGGCCAGAGCAAAAAAAAAACCAGTTAGTGCATCTGAGCAGCCTTTCCCACAGCCCTTTGGGCAATGTGGTGAAAGGCTTCTGCTGCTGCTGTAACTGAAGCAAGGTGCCTGCAACCAGCCCCAGAGCTAGCCAAGTATAAAAGTCAGGTGTTTGCCCTGGATCAGGAAAAGCTCATGACCTGCAGGAAGCTGTGTATTTCTTGATGGCCATCAGTTCCCTTCCTGCATTTTCAATATTCGCACTTTGAAATGCATTGGCATTCCTGAGATTTAATGGAAATAATTCAATTTAATACAGCATCCAAAGGTAAAGAACAATTCTCTGTAAAAGTGTAGTTTGACACTCCAGCTTACCTTTTCCAATACAGCTAGAGAAAGTGTCTGAAAAATTATATAAGCAATTGTAATCGAAAGATCCATAGTCTAATATTTTCTTCCAGTGCTGGTCTCTTTAGGCATGGGCAGGTCAATAGGCCCTGACAGAAGACAGAATACTTATATATGTACTCTCACACATTTTATGTACAATTTCTTGAGCTGCATGGGAGTTCATTACAGCGATTAGAAAAACACAAAATAATGATGCACATAGCAATGGCAAAACCTTGTCTGAATGTTTTCCTTCTCTTTGAAATGGCTTTTCTAGGCCTCAAAGTAAGCAATCAAATTACATGATTGCTGGAGAGCAGGGAGAGAAAGAATGCTTGGAGCAAGACAAAAGGTAAATAGCATTTATTTCCATGTCATCCACTGAGCAGGTGGAAAACCCAGAATATCCACTGAAGTGGAAAGGCAAGAGTTGTGTCTCTACTTTATTGCTTAAATATTTTCATGCTAATGAACCCCAGATGACAAGCAGCGCAGATAATTCATGAGTGAATTTATTGCTTATGACCCTTCAACTCCAGGGAGGCATCAGCACTGCTTTCTGGAAAGCTCACCATAAGTTGCAATCTCCAGAGACCAATAAACACTTCGGCAAAATTTAAGATAAGAAGACATTTCACATAATTAACAGGCATAGAAAATGTCACCAGCTTCTCACCTACCCAGAAACTTGTCATGAACAGGCAATTTTGCATCTTGATTTACTGATGAGATGTCCAAAAATGTATTAAGGAATTCTGTATTTCTGCCCTCCACAGGAAAACTACTTCTTAAGAAACCAGAGGACAACATCTTTAGCTAACCACAACTGCAGAACAGCCATTGATTTAGGTTCTGCACAGGAGCAACTGTGGCTGCTTGCTGTTTATCATCCTGTGAGGGACTGATGTCTGTTGCCCTGAGCTACAGAAAAAGGCCAATGAGAATTAATTTGACATCAAAAGAAGAAGAGCCAAGCCATATAAGCCTTCATCAAAGGAGTAAAGCAGACGTGTAATTGGGTGCTCAGAGTGAGTTAGGATTCTGCTCACTCACCACAAGGCTGCAGAGGACGGATCTGCTCATGTACCCAGCCCTGGAGCGACCAGCACGGGGGGCTCCTACCTGCACCCCTCTCATTTCCTTACTGCTCCCCACACAAAAGCAATACAGCCCTTGCAGTGACTTCCCTGAGGTTCCTTATCAGTGGGAATAATTAGTGTGAACACTAAAAGCCCCTCAGTGGGAATAAAGGGTCAGCCCCACATCCCCCAGCACAGAGCAGGAGCTCATTATCTTGCATGAATTCTTCATAAATTGTAGAAGCGTATTCAGCATATGGCCTTGTTCTGCTTTTCTCCCCAAACAGAGAGCAAAAAAACATATATTTTTGTTGATAATTTCCTCATATAAATTTGATTGGAAGTAAGAACATTTTTTAAATGGACTGTGCATTCTGCATCTGTGTTTCATACGTTAAAGAGAAAACTCAATCATCTCAGTGCAATTGTTTTATTTACACCAGTTTAACCAGAAAATAAATGGCTACAGTAATCTTCTTCTGAGTAAGAAATTATGCAGTTCACACCAGGAGGGTAATCAGCAATGAAAAAAATTGTATTTTCCTGACAAAGCTGGGAATTCATGAATGCTTCCATGATGGGCAAGAAACTAAACATTGAAATTACCTCAAGTCACTTCACATGACAAAATAGCAGTATTTTATTAATCTTCCCCTTTGTCTTTTCACTTCAAACAAATGCAGGCCAGATGATTAACTTGCTTTCAAAATCCTGGCTTCAGAAACAGAAGAGTCTTTACTCCAACTAAGCCTGGCACGGAGAAATCTCAGGGATACACGCTGGTTCTCTTGTAGGGTTTGAAGTGGAAAAATTACTGAAGGAGGTCAATGAGAGGGAATCTGAATGTCAGGAATGTCAGTTGTGTCTTGTCATTTAATGAATTTGCTAAAAGAAGGATTTGATTAGACAGCACATAATAACAATTTGTCTAATTAACAGGTTCAGAAGGAAGGAAGCATGGCCAGAGCAGGACTGAGGTGCCCAATCCCCATAGCTGTGGTGACTCGTTCTCAACCCAGCCCCTCTTTTCCATACTGCCCGTGGAGCACCTACCCTACAACTCCCTTCACTTTCCAAATTACCTTCCAAAACAGCCACTTACTAGATGACTAGATGCTGATGTCTAATGCTACGAACCCTTCCTGTGACTTCAGAATGGCAGCCAAGCATTTCCTGGGATGCACCAAAGGGACTCCAGGCTGGGCAGGAAGGAGAATTCCAGAACCAGAGCTCTGGGGATAGCTCCATGATCATATTTGACTTAATACAGAGGTATGAGAAGTATTCTCTTCTGGGTATTTTCATTTTTTCTAGAAATTATGTCATCTGCCTCGGAAGGACCTGTGCAGTAAGGCAGAGATTAACTAAAATAACCCAGTCAGACATGTCTAATAATGTGTCCACCCAATAAGAGACACCTTTTGTTGAAGGCCAGGATGCTATCCTGCAAGAAGAAAGGAGGTCAGAAACCTGCAGCTGCCCATGGGAATGGTGGAAACAGCAGAAAAGGGGCACTGTCACCTCCTGTGGCACCTGTGTTGAACATCCTGCACTGCAAGAGGACAATTTCTCAAAAGCAGCAACTGTCCAGTTGCCACTGCTGAGGGTCCAGCATGAGGTGAGCACTGTCCCACAGATGGGGAGATGCAATGGCCAGGCCAGCACAGAGGCATATCACAGTGTGGGCATGTACGTGATCCCTGAGCCCCAGCCTTTTCCAGGGCCTTTCCCAAGGAAGTCTGATTGCTTTATTTGCTTTCAGCTCTCAGATAACAGAAGCCAGAGAAATCAATGTAAGCCGCTCAGTGGTACCTCTGGAGTAGCTGTAAAACCAATTCAGCAATATTATAACCTTGAAAATCCAACTTCTCTGAAGTGGGATGGGTTATAGCCAATACTTTAATGACTTCAGACATTTCCTTAGTACAGCAGAGAGCAGTACTGCAGATCAGAGCTGGCTCAGGGGTGTATGTACTGCCAGTGCCTCACAGCTATAAAAAGGTTTCCATCTGCTTTGTTAAAATAAGGTTGTTTACTCAAAATGCCTTTGAAACAGAGATGAGGAGTAGTACAAATTGCTCTAGAAAGGAGGACTGCTATTTATAATAAATCTAGATGGAAATAAAGGTGATGACAAATGTTAGTCATTACACTTGAACCATGTGGACAGGTAGAACTGCAATGGTTTTGATGTCCCTGCAAAGAACATATTTCAGGCAAGAATTTGTTTTGTATCCACAGACCTTGTAATAGCTTTATAATTTTTTTTTATTACTAGTTTTCAATGGTAGGATATCAAAATCATGGCCCAGAGAAGATCTGGAAGGAAGGCAAAGAGTGGCTGTGCAAAGTAAGGCTGTATGGACACTTTTTGTGTCAGGACAACCTAAAAAGGGGGTGCTGAGAGGTCCCACCAACACAAACTTTTTTCAAGATGACAAATATCCCAAATCAGAGAAGCTTTGCAAGGCTTGAGACCTGTCCCTTGCACTAGGCCTGGCTAAAGGGCTTGGTTGGGTCAACAAGTGGAAGGCCACTTACATGGTCCAGGCAGCGCAAACACCCAAGATCAAAGCCAAGCAGCTCCTGTGTGCAGCTGTGCAGAAACCCTGCTCCCACTGCCTGTGGCTGAGCATGGAAACAAGGTGCTAATAGCTAAAGACTGGGCTATGCACTCCCTGAGCCTCTCAAAACACCTCCCTACCATGACCCCATCAGCATGAGATGTGTAGGAGCTTACAGGGCTTTCATATCCATACATCCAGATATCAAAATGTGTTTTAAAAACTGAATCATTGCCACACTGCAATTAATATCCTTATTAGTGAAATGGCACAGGAATGACTACTGATGAAATTGCAGTGGCCCTGCACAGCTCTCCCACAGGAGGTACCACTGCATTCTGTATTATAAGGTGCAAGATCCACAAATATACAAAACCAGCATCCTGCCCTTGGGAGCACTTAACAAAAGGCTTTAAAGAAGAATCCAGGGAAGTATTTGAAATAAAAATTCAAAAAAATATTCTGAAGCATCCTTGCTGTTTTACTCCTACATTTGCCATGCTGCATATCCAACTTGTTTCATGCTTAAGCAAAATAAATTAATCAGTAGGGCTGCAAAGAAAACATTTCTAATTGAAAGATAAATAGACTCCAGAGAAACCTCCTCCAGGAAAGAACTGACAAAATAGGAAATAGCAGCATAGGAGTAACACAACACTTGGGGAATAAAAATAACAGAAACATCAACAGTGTTGTAATAAAAACAAACACATCCAAACATTACATGAATGACACAACCATTCAGAAGTCATCATTTTTTCATCTATTTTGGAAGAACTAAGATGTAAGCATGCAATGCCTATTTCCAGGGAAGCAAACTTGATTCGAACCTCGTTTTAGCAGATGAACATGATACATACCAAATTTTAGATCTGCAACAGTTTAATCAAGGAAAAACAGTTAGTGACAATTACAAAAAGTGAAGGATTCTTTGCAAGGTTGTTTCTTTTGCATTCTCTCTTTCCTGTTCTCCTCCAAATAGGAAACATACCACTTAACTTCATTTTTTCCAGACACTGATACTCTCATTCTTAAGTTTCAAATCCTGTCAGTGGTTTTTGTACATACCTTGTTAGTTAACAGATCAATTCACACAGATGAAAGATACTGTTCAAAATTTTGCTGACTTAGAATTATTCCTGCACATTGTTGATGAATCACAAGAGGACTTGTGATTCCCCACAAGGCTCCCAGCAGCACACCCATGGGCAAGGATCCCATAATCAGGACAGTAATCAGAGAAGGTCACCACCTCATCAAAAAATATCTTTTTAAACTGTATCTTAAGGAACATATGACAAACATCCAACACATGGCATTTTTCACCAGTAAGCCAAAGACATGAGCTAGAATAGGATTCTCTGCCAATTTTTGAGTTTCCAGCACCTGCTACGGAAACAGAAAGATTGTTCATGAAACATCTGTGAGAGAAAACTCAGCTTGGAGTCAGAGAAGTCTTCTTTCCTTACCAGTATTTCTGCAGCTATGGATTTGGGATGCACTCACACTTCAGAAAAAGCATCCACCCTTGCAATAGGAGGAAATGTGCAAATAAAATAAAAAAATAACTAAAAAAGAGACTGGATGAGGAAATGAGAGTGACCCATTGGACTAATGACTAATCACAGCATCTATAGCTTAGAAAAGCTGACAGATGGAAAACCAGAGTACTCAGCAGTGTTTGCCAGTGGGCATTGTTTAAAAGTAATACAGAATGTGCTTACCCTTCCTTCTTGTCAGCCACAGAGTGTTACAAAAAATGAGTATTTATTGCTGCAGAAGAAGGGCACTCGATTAAGGAGATAGAGAGTTAAAATTTTGTGACATTAATGATAAACATGTAAACATATGCAGTGGGAGTAGCCTTTACTTCTCACCCTCTACACAGAGAGACATGTATATCCACACACACATTTACCTACAGAGGAAAGGTAAGAGATGCTATCACACACTGTATGATAGAACATGCAAATATATAGGCATCATTAGTGTGTAAATACATGAATTACTTGCAATTTAGAAAGGTAAACTGTATGACTGAAAGGGCCCAGCTTAGCAAGTCTGCTACCTTGCATTGCAGCTTCTATCTTGTAAAAATCCTTGTTTCATTGTTAATGGTTTGGACAGCTTGATCTGATACTCATCAGCATGCCTCTAACATCTACTTTATTTGCAACAGCTCATACACAGATGGTCTTGGGCCAACCTTGTCCTTTCCCAAATAATTGTTGTTCACTGTAATCTCTGATCTATTTATGGACAGCATCAGTGTCCCTGTCACTTTCTGGTTTCAGTGTGACTGAGCATTCGACTTGACTCCCTATATAGGGAAATGTGTGTGTGGATATATGCACCTATCTGAGGACATTAATCCAAAAATATTGTTCATTTGCTTGGTTTTCTTGTTCCTGAGGTGGAAAACCATTTTCTCTGCAGACAGCTCAGAACTAAGAGTGAGCTTTATCACTGTTACCAAGCAGTGCCTGGACTCTCATATTGCTCTGCAGGCTGGGAACTCTGGCCAGATTGCATCCCACACACACCTGAGTGGAACCATGCAGATGTCAAAGGATACTTCTCTCCAGCAGAAATGGCATATATTTTTTCATAATTATAATAAAATCCTGCCTAAACAGATCTTCCAGATAACAGAGAAAAATAGTATCTTAAACTCTGTTAGCAGCATTCCCTAGTAGCCATGTGGCAGAGCTACCTGTGCACTGGGGAAGCAGGCAGCAAACAGTTTTGGCTACAGGTATGTCAAAACATTCACTTCTTAGACTAAAATGATTTCCTCCTTCCTGTTCATACATCAGTTAACTAATAAATAACCTCTTTGTCTTCTTCTCTTTGTCATATGCTGATGGTTCTGTTAGCTTCTTTCATCTCTTTGTCTATAAGCTGAATAAAAAG